TAGCCAACAAGCTTAAGATCAACGAGGAGAAGACTCAGATCCTTTTATGTTCCTTGAAGATCGGTCTTGAGGAAAACAGCGTGAAGCTGCTTGGGTTCTGGATGGATTCAAAGCTAAGTTGGCACCATCATATTGAAAAGGTATGTGTAAAGCTCTCTAGAGTTCTCCACCTTTTAAGGAAGCTTAGAACCACCATTACCAGACCGTATTTGCTAGCGGTGTATCATGCGCTGTTTCACAGTCACCTCACGTATGGCCTGATTCTGTGGGGCCATTCTCCATGGACACAGGAATTACTTCTGCTACAGAAAAAGGCGCTGAGGATAATAACATCTTCCGGCTACAAAGCACACTGTCGTCCCATCTTCCTGGAGCTGGGTGTGTTGACTGTTTATAGCCAGTATGTCCTCAATGTCTTGATCCTGCTGAAGGTTAATATCCACCATTTTGTTATGAGAGACAATATACATAGTCACCATACCCGTCAAGCTTGTGACATTGATTTGCCGAGATGCCGCCTAGCCCGCTCACTGAAGAGCTATCCTAGGTCTGCGATAAGGTTTTTTAATTCCTTGCCGGTGCATGTACGCGACCTGGACCTAGACGATTTTAAGACGGCCCTACGTGACAGGCTGGTAAATAGGCCTCTTTACAGCCTTGAAGAGCTAGGCAACGAGCCACTTTTTAGCCATTGCCACAGTGTAAATAGTGTGTAAATAGTTTTATTAGTATTAAGTAAATATGACGCAGTCATACCGATATCATCGGTCAACGACACAGACTTCAAGTATTCAAGTATTCAAGTAAGTACTCCTAGAGGTTGCAATATGACCTAGTTCCCCAATCCTAGGATACTCGAAAGACGAAACATTGCAAACAAAAAATTATGAAATGTGTCTGTAGTAGAGTGTCTAGAGATGTAAAGTTGTTAAAAAAGTATAATATTGTTTTCTGGTCTAAAAATAAAACAGTACTTATATTAATAGTAATTGTAAAAACACCTATGTGCAACAAACGTTTCATATATATATATATGTACTAGCAAATCCGTCGTGGCTTCGCTCACAAAAATTTGAATTACAAGTTAAATGTTCAACCTGAGTAGGGCCTATTCTTCTTGTTTTTTAAAACTCATTTATCTATTAAATAATGTGTTATGCAGTAAAACACGTTTATGCCACAGTACACTGTATTAACAAACTTCCCACGCAGGGATTTTTTCCAGAAAACAGTTTTTTGTCACCAGCTTAACTAAATGGGGTTTCATTACGTACTACTTTACTGTAATGAGTTTTTACCGGACACCAATCACCTGATTATATGAGTGGTTATAAACAAAAACATAAAGGGAGGTTATGAGTAGCGAAAGATAATCCTTCAGTCTGTAGGAATATAGGATTTGTACTGATTTTTTATTGTTAAGCTAGCTTAGAGTAGTATAGGGTAAAATATCATACGTCACTTGTCCAAAATGTATTTACCAAACTCGTAAGGTAATCCCGCACTCGACTTCTCGCACGGGAGCGACCACACTCGTCCGGTAAACACCTATTTTCAGGACTAGTAACGTAATATAGGCCTACTATTTTAAGCCACAAAAATAATGTAAATATTTTCATTTTATGTAATAAAATATGACATGTTCCCTTAATAAATAGTGTAGATTCAAAAGTATTCATGTGTTCATATATAAACAAATCTTTTCTCCATAAGGATAACATGGGAACTTTAAAAGCCACTGGGGCAGAGCCCTGATGGAATTTCTTGACAGTTGTTATTGCACACCTAGAGGTGGATTGGAACCTCCATGCCAATTCCTGTGTTGTTATGGCTTGTAGTTTTGATATACATAGTGATCAGTGAGTGAGTGGTATTTGACTTTATAGAAGATAAATATAGGTAAAAAATTCCACTATGCAAGAATATTAAGTCCAACAATTTACAAAGTTAACTTGCAATTCTATTTCTATTAGGCCTAAGCACAAAGTTGTCTAATGATCGTAATAAATTAATTTAAGTTCCTGGACTTGGTTACTATTAACAATACCGTAGTAACAAAGTAATATTACTTGTTGTTCAAAGGTTTATTGCGGACATTTTCCATCACGAATGTAAAAAACAATACACAACGTTTCGGGATCTGGAATCTGATCCCGTCTTCAGGTGAAAAAAACTTAACTAACACATTACAACTAACAATACACAAACGCCCAACCTAAGTTGGAATACACTACCGAGGGTAGTAGTCAAAAAATATGCACTGTATAGCAGTCAAGTCATGATACAACATGCAATTAATAACAAATCACAAAACACTATAATCTATAAAAGGTTTACGTACAAAAAACTCACACAATGGAACACTAACAACACCGTACGCTATGACTCCACCAATGAGACTGAACCAACATGGCTGCCCAATCGGAAACACGGAGACAACAGAAATGGCTTCCGGTCCCTGGAAAAGTAAAACCAACAAAATGGCGGAGCGATGTGATTTTGTTGGTTTTACTTTTCCAGGGACCGGAAGCCATTTCTGTTGTCTCCGTGTTTCCGATTGGGCAGCCATGTTGGTTCAGTCTCATTGGTGGAGTCATAGCGTACGGTGTTGTTAGTGTTCCATTGTGTGAGTTTTTTGTACGTAAACCTTTTATAGATTATAGTGTTTTGTGATTTGTTATTAATTGCATGTTGTATCATGACTTGACTGCTATACAGTGCATATTTTTTGACTACTACCCTCGGTAGTGTATTCCAACTTAGGTTGGGCGTTTGTGTATTGTTAGTTGTAATGTGTTAGTTAAGTTTTTTTCACCTGAAGACGGGATCAGATTCCAGATCCCGAAACGTTGTGTATTGTTTTTTACATTCGTGATGGAAAATGTCCGCAATAAACCTTTGAACAACATTAACTCACCATCACCAACAATGAACTTCAAACAAAGAATTAATATTACTTGTAACATAGAAATAACATAGCTGTAAAGATCCAGTTTTACTTTGAGTAATAGTAATAGTACCATTACTATAGGTAATACAGTAGTATTATTGCTCCATTAAGTTGATCTGAAAATTATTTTTATTATGATGACAATAATGAAATTTTACAACTTCTCTCAAACTCATCTCATATCACATTAGGTGACTTACACTGATAAGAAATAAGTGATAAGAATGGATGTTACATAAATGTTCAATCATTTGTTCTATTTCACGGAAAATTGTATAAATTGACATTGTTATTTGAAAATGTATTGGTGAAACAAAAATTAAATTAAATCTGTCACTTAATTGAGACAATAATAAACCTTTGAAAACTAAAATGTTAGGCTATGTAAAAACATGTTTTAGCATTTAAATTTACTAGGCTTTAGTTATGAAACATATTAGCGAATCTTTGTCTTTAACTTTTTGGATTGTTTATTTTATAGTACTATTATTTTCTATAGGCCTACCTATATCTATTTTCTATATCTATGTTGAAATTGTATAATTTTTAACACTAATACCGAAACCCCACCTAGGCTGACGTTAACCTAAACCCCCGGTCTGTGAGACTCCATTTGAAAAATAATGGACCCCGCTTAGAAACACACAAACCGAAACCCTCGGTCTGTGAGACCCCGCTTTAAAATACACTAACGCTGGGCTTCTGAGACGGACATGTTACAGAACAGACGACCTGTCAAGGTCACGGCACCCATGCAAAATGAACAAATGATATATCAATAGGTAGGGGAGGAAAAGGGGGGAAGGTATAGGGGGAACGGAATCTACCAAGTAAACAGTGTTGCCAACATGCAATTTTGAAAATTCCCGTGGGCCTGTCAGACCGAGGTTTCGGTATTAGTGTTAAATTGTGTCCACATTTTTCATGGATTCAAAATGTACTCTTATTGCATTATATTCACTCAACTAGACTACAAGGTCTTAGTTTACAAAAACAAAAAATCTACAACTAAAAAAGACGTTCCTATAAATTTGTTTTATCTGCATATATTTATTTGTCTAACCGCAGAGTTAGTACAAAGTTTTGAGAAAATATGAATAACTTATACTTATAGAATTCAAATTGTAAATGAATAAATTATATGTTATCATAAGTTATCTAATCAGTGGATACCGGTAGGTACCATAAACATCAGTGGGGAAGTAATATTATAACCAGGAATGTTGGCAAAGTTAGTTATGCCTCCGTGAACGATAGAGAAACTTTTAAAATCAGCAACATATTATCCTCCGCATACGCTGCAGTATTGTCATTATTTCCTATGAAATATTGCAGTTTTAACGCATACATCTTTTGTGTTTGTAGCTACACAAACAAAAGATATCTTGACAATTTTGTTGATGGTAGGCTATTAATTAATGATTCATCAATTGATTAAAGATACTCGCTTAGCCCGCTAATCCAAACAGGGTTTGGTCCCAGTTAGTTCGAAAGGGTCGCCGGAATTCCCCTTGAATTTTACCCCCTGAGCAGAGCTGACATCATTTGAGCACTCTCAAGTTTGTTCTTAGGTGGAATTTTACCCCCGCAGATTTGAGAGTCTAATGATAGGGGTTTAGGCAACTGAAGATGTACAGCCCGGATTTTTACCAGAACTATCACATGCTCATTTCACAATTCCAGACAGCTGATTCAAGCAAATCAAATTTAACATTTTGCACAACTCACAATGTGCTAGTTTTGATTTTCTTATAGAAAGTCTACCGGTAGGCCTAATTGATTATGGAGTTACCTTGAATATTCCACCCCCTTAGCTATATCATATCCTTTTGGTTAGGCCTATAAAGAAATTTTAAAACTAATAGGTAATTAAAAAGCTATTAAGTAGGCCTTACCTAATTGATTATTTTAATCAATGAGCACACCTCTAAGCAAAGTTTATGCTGAAGTTGAAATTGAACTGTGACAGTGAGTTAAATTACTTAGCCTAACTTACCTATGGGAAATAATCAAAAATGTAAACAAAAACTGAAGCAAGACAAAGACTTACAATGGATGTCGGGCATCAGCTACAGTACGGTTGTAGGACACTTTATCACTGGCAAGCAGGTTAAACGCTTCTTTCTTCATAATTTCCTCAGCAAGTTTTGCTTCTTCCCCAGAGAACTCCACAGCAGCACCATTGTACCCTAGACCAGGAACTACTTTGGCAAGATCTTTCCTTATCATTGCCTCATATTCTTCATTTATATTACTTTTCACAGCAACATTTCTCGCTCGACCTGACATACAAAAATTAAATTAACTTATTGTAAATTAGTTTGAAACAATGTTACAACAGTTTATTTTGGTTAGAACCTGTTTGCCCTCATCCAACGATTAAAGATGAGTATGCATACTTTTGTGATTAGACCAATTTAGGGCTTTGTAAACTAAATAGGCTACGCCCACCAAGGCTAAGGCTGGATATGTTCTAGCTTTTCTATCCAATGTAGCAAATTTTTGGCTCCACAGAGATAACTTAGCCTACTTATAGGATTTATCACATTACAATCTAACTTAACTTAATTTCAAGTTAAGGCTGAAGGTAAGATGTAACTTAGTTCTAGGAATATGTTATCAAAATATTCAAAATTCACAATAATTTATTTAATGTAATTTGACAATGCCTAAGTTATTCCTATGTAGGCCTACAACTTGGTCAATGTCAATAAACTTTCTTATTCTTATGTAAGTTACCAAAGTACTGGCTGCACTTTACTTTACGTCCTACACTCATTCGAATGAAAATAACGATTATTCTAAGGTTTCATTCGATATATTGTTTGTTTAGTTAGGTTAACCTTACCTAACTAACCAAACGATATAAATTATCGAATAATCGATATATCGATCGATATTTTCATTCGAATGAGTGTAGGACGTAAAGTAACTTAAAGTGCAGCCTACTTACTAATTACTCACCTGATAAGGCTGATTTAGGGTGGATTTTTCTGCTCTCAATTCCTGGTTTTTTGAATAAATTTGAAGTTAGGCTCATCAAATCCACACCAGAATCATCTTTACTTTCATATAGGCTCAATTGATTTTTCAATGTTTGTAATTTATTCTGATGTAAAAACCATAAAATTAAAATTGACAGAGAGATAAATACTAAAGTTATTTTGTACCATGGTCTTCTACGCCTAGGGGCACATATAAATAGCATTTTATTGAATTCTATAAATGGGAATCATCAAAATCTTGTTAACTAGCGAATTAATTGGAACTTGTTTACAGCAACAATCAACTCCAGGAAAACATAACCTCAAAATTGACGTAATGGATCTGTATTCATAAATATTTTATCCTTAAGACATTGTACGAATCGGTCATAAAATAATAACTTGACAATTTTTATTAGATAGTCGTTTTACTCACAAGGGAGTAAATACCCTAAACCATTTTCACTTAGGCATATTTCGAAAACACGTCACCAACCTACTCATGACATTCTTCGACAAAATCACTCACACACAACAGTACAACACAGAACTAGTGAAAACTTACTATCGATAGTACTATCGATAGTATCGATAGTTTGAAAATATCGATAGTGGGTCGATAGTATTATACTATCGATGAGACTATCGATAGTTTTTCTTACGTTAAATTAAGTAAAGAAATCATTATCTGGTACTCTTACATTTCATTGTTTGTCTGTTAATGCATACCTATAGTTAATATTATAGACTATTTTTTTTAAATTCATTGTAGAAAAGCTCGGTAGACAAGGCTACCTTCTCAAACATTTGAAAGCGGGGGCATTTGCTAATTCACTACCGGACTTATGGGTACATTTGCCTCGTGGGTTTTAGCATACATAGTAGACACCGGTATACGGTATTTTCCTTTGATCTATGTTTTAGATTGTCATAAAAAAATATATATATATATATATTATTTATGCTATGCGAGTAAAAAAATATTTTTGTAGTGAATAATAAAAAGAAAATAGTAAGAGAATTTTTCTTTTTTTATTGTTGTAACCCTTAAAATAAACTTATTGTTATTTTTTACAAATGTTGTAATATTTTGGGAAAAAAAACGTAAAGGGGGCTCCAGGGCGTCACTCATAAATTGTTAAAATCAATAATCTGATACAGCTTTATCTTCGACTAGGTAGAAACCATTGTTTAAACTCATGCAGGCAGGATATATACAATATTATATGCATTAAAATTCCATTTGAGTGACTATCGATAGTACTATCGATAGTATCGATAGTTTTTAAAAAACTATCGAAAACTATCGATAGTGTGACTATCGATAGTAAGTTTTCACTACACAGAACACAGAACACAACAACCGAACAACCTTGTACCGGTGGGGCACACGGGAGGGACTAAGGCAAGGCTAACATTAGTGTCAGCGTTCGCCGCTAGAACCACTAAGTTGAAAAAATTTAATTTTTTATTTTTAGTTATAAAATTAACTTTTTAATTATAAAATATTGTTTTAAAATTATAAAATTAATTTTTAATTTTTTAAATAAAACTGTCATAACATAACCTAACCAACCAGACTTGCTGATAACTTAATATTAAAACTGTATAAGATAAATACCCCCGCCGCAGCAAACCTGCAGACTAAGCGAATTTCCATTTGCCTGATTGGATTTAGACTAAAATGTCTCCTTAAAAATATCACATTTCTTCCCTATTTAAATAGAATCAGTTTAACACATACTTAGGTTTGCTGCAACAGGGAGGGTAAAAGTGTTATTTTATGTAAAATGTTAATAGTTAGTAAGAAATAAAAACATTTTCCAAATTTGGGCAAAATATGTTAATAAACAAGCACACTACAACGGTTTACTTATTCTCCATAAGAATAACATAGGAATTTTAAATGAACAATTTTTTGGAATTTTCTCCGTAACCATTAGGCGCATTATAACGCTTCAATATACTAAATTATTTGTTTTTTTAAGCTCTACAAAATAGTTTGGAAAGAAATTTCAAAATTTTATGTTTTTTGGGTCAAAAATAGGAAAAACCCATTTTTACCCCATAAAAGCCCCCATAAACCCCTGTTCCCATGGTCCGATCATGCTGGTTCGCGAACTCGTTCGAATAAACGTAGGTTTACACGTTTGTACCAAATTTCATCAAAATCGGATCATTTTTGCTTGAGTTATCGCGCTAACGGACACATATATATATATATATATATAAATATCACATATATATATATATATATATATGTATATGTATATGTATATATATATATATATATATATGAATTTGAACGGATGGTGTTTTTGGCCTCTAGGGACCTCAAAACGAAAAAAAAAATCGGTCCCGGGTCTAGGTCTTACCATGAGTACTACGGTAATAGCTTATTCCCTATATGGGAAATTCGCTAAAATCTAATTAATGATTACTTATAATTTTTAATTAATTATAAAATTAATTTTAAAATTTAGTATTATAAAATTAAACTGTCATAACCTAACCTAACCAACCAAACTTGCTGATATGAAAAATTTGTTGACAAAAAGTTAAAGTTACCAGCGGAATTCGAACCCGGGACCTCAAGGATATCAAATCGAAACGCTACCATAGATGAAGTAATATAATGAGATAGGCAGCCGCGTGTATAAAACCGTGGGAGTTTTTAGATGGGCCTGCACGATGTATTGCGCGGGCCGTCCGCGGCTCGCAGCACTGTCGTGGGTTAAACGCAGTACGTTGTCTCAAACCGCACTGCGTTACCGACACGCTAACTTATACAGTAACCACGACATTTGCTATTGAATAATGAAAGTATTATACTTTAATATGACGTATTATGTTATTACAATAACGGGGCCGATAAGTGCTCGGTTATGGTTAATTATTGGACTTAATAGTTAAACAATATCACAAAGAGACACAATTTATCGATTACGAAAAATGTTTTTATTACAAACAATAAACATTTAATCGCTTAAATAATGACAACCATCTAATTTAAAAGTGTGCAATAAAACATAATTATCAAAAATTAATATGACCTTACTTTAACATAGTTATTCACATTTACATAATTACTTACGTACATAATAGTTATTTACACAAATAAATCCTAAAACCGTTATTTTCGTTCGCCAAGAAATCGTCCACTTATATTTTAACTAAAGAAGCAAAGGTAAAATGTAAAAGCATTAAATAAAAGTTTACAAGTGAAATTTCCAATATTATAAAGTAATAGAATTAGTTAAATTAGTTTATATCATATGAAATAAAATTTTACGCCTCTTGTTACGCCAATCTCAAAAGAATTATTATAGGTATAGTTCGGACACACTAAAATTTAGTTATTGAAACCAAATTTAAAGACAATTCTAGACAAAAAGAATAAATGAAATGTATAGGCATTCCGTAAAACCTAACTAAACGTAAACAAAGCAATAAGTAACACATTCAAACACACTCCAATCAAACTAAGCTACTGAACAAAAATAACTTTTTAATATTATAGACAATAACAACAAACCTACAACAATAATATGCAACAAATCGGAAATATAAAAACAGTTAAATGTACTTACTGTGACAACTACATTGGGCAAACAAATTGAAATTTAAAAGTCATATTCAATAACGAACACATTCCAGGATACAATTCGAAAACAAGACATCTATGAAATACAATTTTGCAAAACATCTCTTAAATATAGAAAAATTACCAATTTTGAAGATTACATAATCTACGAAATAGAGAAAGATTGAATGTGAAAGAAGAAATTAATATTAATACGCACTGCAAGAACAACAACAACACAGGAATTTTAAACACATTGATACAAAAAAAATTTTAACGCTTAAAACAATAGCAAACACAACTAAGGAAAGATGAAAAAACAAATCAAATAATATATAAATAATATCAATCAAGAATAAACTATTTAACAAGTTGAAAATTTTGCTATAATACGTTATTATTTATTTACCAATTTTAATTTGACTATTGACTCTTGTAGGCCTATATTTAACCGTTAGAATGAGTATTGTTGCATTTTCAATGTGTTTGCTACAGCAATTACATGTGTTGAACTTGTTTTAGCTTATCTTGGTACGATGAACACTGTGGGCGTCTTGACTTGGGTATTCGAAGGTCTTTTGACACCCACAAAACAGTTTTCATTAGTTTTAATCGTACCAAGAAACTTAAAATAAACTGACGATGGATACGACACGGGTTATCATGGTCCAACAAAAGCCATCCTCCCTCAATTTCTTTAGAGGCTAAATCAATTAGTCCACTCTTAACATTACACTTAAACATCATTTTTTGAAAATGTTTCTGGAAGGACAAGAGTATGTCCCGAGTAAAATTCACCATGTCCTGGGAAGGCGCAATTAAGCTTGATATCCCTTCTTTGGTGCCGTAAGACTTGTAAAGTATCAACAATTGGTTCGGCTCTGACAACACTGAGTTCACTGTCAAGTCAACCTTACACGTGGCGCAATGGTACTTGTCCAACACAACCTTGGCGACGTATCCCGCAACGTATCTGTAATATACAGAAGTATACCTGAATGAATTATATAGATAGGCCTAAGCATTGCTCTATTACAAATAATCAACAGGTATTGGCTAAGCATAAAATCAACCTAACCAATAAATATAATGCAAATTAATTAGTAAAAAACAACAAATAATTTTTGGTTTCAATTTCACAATGTGATGCGAAGTTTAGCACAGCGTTTTTGCACTACCCAAAGTCAATGATAAAAGAAAGTTTAAATAATATTATCTGCAGCTGCCTTTGGGCTAAAACCCTCAGAATTTTTACTGCCGCAATAAAAAAGTAGGATTAAAAAAAATTAACAAAAATAGAGTGCATATATACCTCTCTTTATTTATGTTTTAGAATTTCGTTAGAAAAAAATTCGAATTTGATTCACTAGGACAATTAAGCTGACAAACATAACATATGCATTTTAAACCTTACTCTAACTCAAGACAAGGAGTTCAAAGCTTAAAAATTATACCAATATTGTAAAACTAAAACATGTAAGCAGTGCAATTTATCGTTTCCACAAAACTCTATTAATTAAGCATAGTTCTTTTAAGCTTAACTTTAAAAAAATAGGTTCAAAGGCTGGATTAATCATGGTTAGAATCTTAGGTATTTCTCAAATCAATGACAACATTTTCGAACAAATAAATCTACCATACAGTTGTACATATACGTATTAACTATTGAGTTTGTTTAAACCAGCTGTGTGGAATGTGGAAAACAATGGATTTGACGGTTCTGCTTCTTAACATTTTAAATACAATTTGCCTACGTTACAAACATTGCGAGTTTTCTTTTAGTTGCCGTGGAGACCAATCAATTTACTTTTAAATCTCTCACCTCATAAAACCTTTGAAAGCCACCGGGGTGGAGCCCTATGTCAATATCAAAACACGAATAGCTCTAAACAAATCTCTGGAGCTCTAAGAAAA